GTGCGTGCGTGCGTGTGTGCGTGCGTGCGTGCGTGCGTGATGCTTATAATTAAATTTAGAATTTAATAAACAAAAAAATATACAATATATATTTTGTAAATATATTCTAAAAATGTATAGTGTATATTCTATGTATATCTACAAAAATTTATTTTAACAGATTTATAAAAACGGATTTCATACTTGGTACGTAAATAGTACAGATCCATGGAATCGAGTGATGTATGATGTAATAGTAAATCAAATGAGGGAAAATGATTTAGCTAAAAAAGCTCGTAAGTAATATATTCCTCTTTTTAAATCAATTTTTTTCTACAAAAGTATAAAATAATAAATGTTAAATTTAAAACCAGTTACTAAAATTATGCCGATATTGGATCTCGAATCGAAGAAATATTATATTCTTAAGCTACGAGATATAAAAAAACGAGATATTGAAAATAATGGCAAGTATATTATATTATATAAAATTTATAACATGTAATATATTTATCACAAAAACGTATTAATTGCAACTTTGTTTCATTAATCAGGAGCTTTTCATATTGTTTCGTTATCCAACTCTATAATTATGGAATCTAATTCGACACACACTAACATAATTAGTAAGGACATTAATGATCCTAGTACTAGTACAATCTTTGAGAAGGTATTAAAACCACGATGGATTTTGCAACCTAATGAAATTCAGAAATTCAAGATTCGATATCTACCTGAAGAAGTGGGAATTCACCGACAAACATATACACTATCTGTCCTTGATGGCAATGAAATTACTTATGATATCAACATTTCTGCCGTCGCAGATGTCCCAAGATTAGACATGAACCCAAACACTATTTTTTCAAAAGTAATAACGGTTTTTATGGATAAATATTAAAATACACACAAAAAACATTAAAACCATGAATTATTAAATTAAATTACTTATTGTTAATTTAATTTAATATTAAATGATTTTATAAATTATTCATAATTTTTATTAAAGTTTATTAAAGTATATATATAAAATAACTTTTCACGAAGATTTTAGTAAAATTAATGGAACGTGTTCCAGATCAAAAAAACAAAAGTAAACAATATAATTGATCCCACATACTTTTCTGATGTTAATATCTTCGACTTCGGATCATTATTGGTGTATGAAAAGGATCAAAGGTTTGATTTGATGTATTATATGATGTCCAATAATAGAAAGTGTAAAATATGTGTTCATAGAATACTTTTGATACATAATAGTTCAAAAATTATCCATTATTGAGCCTTATATTTGATATCTTTATTCACCAAATTATAACCATATATGAAACAGTCATTTTACCGAAACTTAATTTCTTATTTAATCATTACGGGGTCCTTTATTATAAATTAATTATAAATTTATTATAAATTTATTGTAAATGTGTAATTTACAAATAGTGCTCATCGTCGTGAAGCAAAATTTAAATTCTGCAATGTATCCAAAGTTGACGCAGAAGTATCTTTCACTCTCCAAGAAAATAATCCAAATATTTTCATTATAGAACAAAAGAAACTTTATATTCAGGTATTTTTTTATTATTCCGTTTAAAATACATTTATTATCTACTAAAAACATGCAAATTTTTTAATTATTTTTTGTTATTTAATTGTATAGGCTGGACAGTGTGAATTGCTAAAAGTATCAGCAGGTGTTACAGAGCTTGGTTTATTTACTGATAAGTTATACATATGTATCACAAATAATCCGCATGTTGAGAGTATCGAGGTAATTAGATAAAAAGAATAAGAACCATAACAAAAACCAGAATATTGACACACACACACACACACACACACACACACACACACACACACACACACACACACACACACACA